GCGTCTGAAATTCGGACGGGCTATATAGAAATGAGATGTGATGGACATTAAAGCAACTATTAGTCTTGGGTATGACGTTGTCTCTTCCCGACTTCAAACGGACTCTGCGTTGTGTCCCCAACACGCCAGACCTTGTTGTCACTTCCGCGGATGTTGGGAGTGACGTTTCGCAGTTTTCCAGAGGGAACACGATTGCATTCCAACGTTGGGAAATTTCCTCTCGCGAATTGTATTTTGACTAGGAGACGATTGGACATTGCTAACGAAAAGTTGCGCTAATATCTATACCATAAGCTCAGAGACCTCCTAATTTTGCGTAACTGGTAACGCTTAGTTCCAGCGTTCTACCGGGCCGATTTTCATGATTTTTGCGGTTATCGACGGGCAATTGTCTCTAGATTAGCCCGCTTTATTCAGTTTTTCAAAATATGTCCCAGGTTTTTTTGTAATACGTGGTAAAGTTGCGAATTCTCCCATTTAAAGAATGTAAATTTATATTGTTTGTCATAGTTCGTTTGAGCGTTCTACTGGGCCGATTTCCATGATTTTTGCGTAAATCGAGAGGTGAGAGGCCCTAGATGAGCCCGCTCTAATTTCGTATAATACTGTGCAACACCTCTGTTGTGAAATGGTTGCTTCAGGCGCCGCCGCGGGGCGGGTAGCGCGAAACGCGCATTGGCGCCTACAAACCTAAGTGGATACTTCAAGCATTGTGCAGTGCGTGAAGTATCCACTTAGGTTTGTAGGCGCCAGTGAGCCTCTTGCGCTGGCAGCACGCCGCTGGCGCGAAGCGCCCTCAGGGGGTTGGGCCGCGTAGCTGCCAGGGGGCATAGCTCCCTAGTTTCTTCTATTCTCACTCAAAAGGAAACTTTCGACGAGCAGTTGCAAAGTAATATTTCTGAGAAAATTCAATTTCTTTTAGACAATTTTGTAACATTAGAAAAAAATAACGTTCCCCCGTCCAAAAAACGACGATACTGTCGTTTCTCCGAGGAGAGAGTGTAAATGCATTTCAACGTTACAAGATTTCCTATCGTTAGGTAGGTATTGCGACTGACAATTTCTGATTTATTTCTCTGATCACGCATAGAAATCAGCGAACTTTTGAATAGACCGGACACTTCTTCGTAAGTTTTGCAACTTCGGAATAGAGGTGCGTTCCTTCGCCTAAGAGTCGAATGGTTGAGCTATTAGTGTGAAGAAAAGTACAAGCTTTCCAATGGTGCTCAGATTGTCCAACTTCGTGCTACATTTGCGACTGAACGACATATGAGTTCTGAAACTTCAGGTCATTCTCGAAAAGCCGTTGGTGTCATTGCTTAATTTTCTGTTAAAATTATCAGCATGCTTGTTTCTGGGTTATCTAAAAATCATATATTGACTGAATAACACAAACTGAGTAGCACTGCGACAAAATGCAGACCTAAGTACCATGTCGATTAAGTCTCGTATTCGAAGACCCATTTCTAGTTCTTAAAATACTTCAGGATTTACTTATTTTCTGGGTCATTAGTTACCTTTTTAAAGTTTCTTGCTAAGCTCAACTGTTAATCTGTGACCATTCTCAATAACGATCTAAAGCCTGAATTCCAGAGAAGAGAAGTTCTACAGTGAAATGCCTACTATCTAGGTCTTCAAAACTTTCTTCACCAGGGTTGCTAGTTTGGTAACATTTGAAAAGAAAGGCCGATTTTCTAACTTTTTTAGGCTGTGCAAGAAAATAAACCATCTTTGGCTACGCGCTCTAAAATGTCCTGCGTCCTACATTTCAGCAAAACAAAACAAAACCAAAAACAAAATCGTTACTGAGACTCCCAACTAGAAAGAAAATGGTTTCCTTTCCTCTGTTCAAACCTAACTTTTCGAGAGAAAACAATTTCCCTACAATGCTCATACATTTTCTTTCGTTTCCGGAAAAACAGAAGGGTAAAATTTTACATAGTGAAAGCGCTGCGACACTTAAGAGATCGATTTCCATACTTTCCCTCGATACAAATTTCTTTAACACGACTCCAAACTATTCCATGGTATTCGCCGATCTTTGCAACCCTCATAACAAAACAAAAAAAATCCCTAAATTTTCCCCATCCTTTTCAGTTTTTGCATTGTTCGGGTTTCCTTACACATTTTCCAAATTTCCCTGCTAATTTTCTGAGTTTCTCCAATTTTCCCTGACCCTCGCAACACAGCTCACATACCTTTTTTCCCAGTGGCGAGCGATAGAAATTCGTTGCTCGACACGATTGTCTCATTTTATTTGAATAGAGGCTGCTGGCCTGAATTCCAGCATTTCCAGCGCTGCACCCGGGTAGGGGACAATAAAGTTCGATACTAAAAGGCCGCTCGGTCGCATGCGATCCCTTGCGATTATTTACGACTGCGATAGACGGAGCACTGCGGGCTGCATGCGCAACGGGGAACGGGCGACGGGGACTTGTTTATCCGAAACCTGGAATGCGCCTCTGATTGCATGCATCGTCAGCCTTTCCGCGGACCCTCAACATTTCACCGATCTGGCCCCGCCGCACACTGGACCAAATCAATCGGAGAAGTCAGACAAAATTTGGAAACTTTGAAAGCTTATACTTTCGAAAATATGGGGGAAAAAGTTTAAAAGAGGTTTCATTAGTTTTTTTCGTGAAATTTCCTTTCAGAAACACCCTTGAAAACTGAATTCGTGACGAAATAAACATCAAAAGTTGAAAGTTTATTCCATGTCCGACTTCTCTGATTGGCTTGATCCTCTGTGCGCCGCGCCTGCCGATCCGCCCAATCGGGGACCCTAGAGATGTCGTCGAGGTGAATTAGGCCGACGGCAGAGGCATCCGTCCCCTCACTTGCCAAATAACCCCAATTCGGCGCAAGGGCTCCGTTTAAAATTGCGAGTTTAAATCCCGGTCTGGCAACAATGCCGCTGAGCGTGCCGGCCGATAATAAGCACAGAGCAAATAGCGGCTACCGGGTTTCCTCCCAGGGTCGCCATGCTGGGCCAAAAAAAATTCCCGTCGAAATTTTCCGGGGTTGCGGAAAGCCCTTCCGAATTCGATCAAGAAAGCGCAGTCTATCTTTTGGGGACCGTCCATAAATTACGTGACGCTCTAGAGGGGAAGGGGGGGTCGAGGATAGCGTTACGCTTTCTTGTTTTTACGTGTTAAAGGATAGGAACCTACGTCACAAAAGCGTGGCAAGGGGGGGGGTGTCAAAAATGCCGAAAAAGTGCGTTACGTAATTTATGGACGGCCCCCAGGGTGAGTTCAGAAATTTGGAATGGGCCAGTTGCATTGGTCATAAAATTCGTTTTAATGGTTTGAGCTTCTTGTTGTAAAAAATAATAAGATCTGCTCAAAGGCCAAGTTTCTACGTTCAGTATTAGCGAAAAAAGCACTCATCGAAAAACACGGCGTATGACGTCATCAACCGCGGTAGTGCGACAGGGTTTCTTCCACCTTGGTTTCTCCAATCTGGAATGCATACATATGCAGTGGTTGCTTGACGTAAAATACGCATGAAACCAATTTTGGAAAAACCACGGAATGCACTCCTGCGGTGGATGATAACATACGCCGTGTTTTGAAAGGACGATATTTCCGATTTTTTGACGCAGAAATTTGGTGTGTGGCCGGATTTTGTTAATTTTGTTTAATCTATAGGCTTAAACAACGAAAAGAAGATTTTATGACTAGCGCAACTCACGCATTGGAACGACTTGATTTTTCGGAGTTTTCCTTAACTAATTTTGAGAAGATGCCCAACCTATTAAGATTGTGTGGGATGATAAATAATAATTTCAAGATTTTCCAATCCGGCTAAGAGACAATCTGAGACCTAGCGATGTGACACGGGAAAATTCCACAGAACCAATTCTAGCATGACTTCTGGTTCATTTAGTTCCATTTCCCTGACTTCCCCCTTTTTCCAGGCTCATGTTTCTTCTCCTGACTTTCTTCAGATTTTCCTAACTCCTACCGATCTGCTTATCCTGACCAAAATGATTTAATAACAATAGATTGGAATCGGTAAAACTGCTGGCGCAAGTTCTTGTGCTCCTGCACTTCTGTGTGTATGCAATTTGACCACCAGTAAAGTTAAAATAGTTGTAGCATGCCTCCTTGCTACGAGCAGTCGAGTTTTGCTGATCTTTCACGGGAACGTTGAGGCAAATGTTGATTAACAGAGAATCGCTTCATGAGACATGCTCAAAAACTTATTGTAAATGATGCAGCGAAGAATTCGTTCCTTTTGACTCAATGGTCTAATTTTTCTGATACTTGAAAAAAGAAAAGACAGTAGAAAAAAAAGTTAAGTTAAATTATCAGGTAAGATTGAGGTCGTGGTTCCGGCTTTCTGTGAAAATAGTTGGGTTTATGTTCTCACTTTTTAAGTTTTAGAGACTTTTTGCTATCTCCTGCCAGATCAATTGCAAGAGACCTTCAGAAAAATGTCATCGTTTTGACACTTTCTAGATGACCGCGGCCCTTTCTTAAAAATGTGACAAAACTTGTTCGCAAAAAAAAAAAAAATGATTGCGGATCTGTCAGAATATACACTTACTAATTTTTTAAAACTAAGCGATTTTAGGAAAGGGGTACCAATTCCTGTTTGTTCTGTTTTTTGTGAAATTTGGTCGATTTTTCATGAAAGACCCATTATGAGGCGACTCTGACAAAGGTAGCTGTAGTTGAAGTGAAAGACTTGAAGGCATACATAGA